TTCATTTGTGGTCCAGAGCCCTGGCCACTCAGGGACTGAGCCCGCCCACAGGAGGAACCTAGATCCCAGGGGGGCACAGGCGAAGGCAGGGGTGATTTCTCTTCCCCTGGGTGCCCCATCTGCCTACCCTCACCGGAGTTCCTATCTCACAAGGCATCTGGAATTCAAGACACAGTGAAGTTACCCTGTCCTCTGCCCCCAAACTCTATCCCTGGGAAAAATTAAGTTCTCTTTCTGGGCTTCAGTATCTCCATCTGTAAAATGAAAGGATTAGGTCACATAAATCCAAGGGATGTCTTCCCACTCTGAAAGCTCTTAGTGCTCTCTCCATTTATCTCAGATGAAGCCCAGACCAAGTATGGAGATGGCCCCTAAGGGAGACCCTATCCCTTCGATTCACACCCCTTACCTCTCAAGGAGCCTGGTCCCTATTCTGGCTTCAGGCCAACCAGCTGCAGTGAGGCTTTGAGAAAACACCATTGCAGGCACCTCCTGCACTGCTAGCCTGGCCTTGGCTAGTAAAGTCACCAGTAAGGTGACCCTCAGCTCTGAGCCCCAGGAACATGGCTGCCAGCTTAGCATCCCAACTCCACCCAGAGCCCTAGGAAGATCTAGGGCAAGGGAAACTCTCTCATTCAAGCGACACAAGATGCAGAGCTGGGAAGGGGCCTGTTCCTGAATTCTGAATGTCTAAAGTTCACCACCACCCCTCACCTTATGCTTCTCAGAGAGAAAAAAATTTCAGGGAAGCTGCCTAAGTGTCAGGATGTGGGAACTGGAAGAGACTTTATAAATTATTTTTTGCCACCCCTCACTTAGGGGTAAATTAAAGTGTAGAAATGAAAAGGTACCAATTTTCGTCATGGGGTGAACTGTGGCAGACTGGGGACTAGAATCCAGCTCCCTGACCTCCAGCCCAGGGCTCCATCCACTGAACCAGGTATGAGGCCGTTTGGAGGAAGCTGGAGCCACCTGGCTGGGTCTTCTTTCCACAGGAGGCAGGCACAGTGTTCCTCCTTATGGCTCAGTCCCTATCCATCCTTACCTGCATATCATTACCCCCGTGACCTAACACACCCACCCCAGCTCTGTCTTCCTGGAGCCAAGGCCCTGAACTCCCTCCTTCACTCCTCTCCCCAAACTATATGCCTGTCCTCCAGACCCAAAACCCTCGCAGTGAATTGATGAGTCCAGCGCACAGCACACCCCACACACACAGGGCTCGCCGCAGAGCACGTCAACCACCATTGTCTCCGTGGCAACCAGGGGCTTAATTAACAGGCTGCAGCCCTGTCACCATGGCAATGGCACCCCAACAGCCCCCCATTCCCTACAGATTCAGCCCATCTTTCCTCTTTCTCAATCTGGACCCCCTTAGCACGGCAGCCACCCCCCCACCCCCACCCCACCAGGAGAGCTGGTGCCTGCAGATCGCTCTGGTTCATTGAGAAGGGGGGGGGAGATGAGGGGGATGAGAGAGAGAGAGAGAGAGGGAGGGAGGGAGAGCAGCCCGTCACCATGGCAACTGCAGCCCCGTTCATAACCAGTTTGTTACCATGGAGATTCCCAGGGCTCACCTTGGGCTGAAGTACTGGGCAGTGAGGTTCTGAGTCCCAGCTTGAGGAGGGGGTGACCGGAGAACACCCTGAACAGGCTGGAGATCTCCAAATCAGATATTTATACCAATAACTCAGTGTCTTTCTTTCCAATTTACAGATAGAGAGACTGAAACATGAGGTTTGGGTATGGAGGAGGCAGAGAACTTCACCCTTCTAGATCATCAAAGAATCCTAGCATTTTTATGGCTAGCATGACCCTCAGATAGCTTCCTGTTCAACTCCTTTATACTACAGATGAGGAAATTGAGGCTCAGACAGGGGAAGCAACGTGCCCAAGGGGACACCACAGAGCCTGAGCTAGAGCGTGGATGGGCTATATTGTGGTCTTGCTCCATCCCCCTAGCGTAAGTCAGCTCCTTCTCACTCCTGGGAACGCATCTCAACTCCTGTTAGTCTTAACCCAGGCCCAAGGTTCTTTCCAGTGCCCTGTCTTGCTCCACCAGAAACTGAGGCACAGTGCGAAGTAGTATAAAGGGATGCGGGAATCGCTCAGAGTGGTAACGACTGGCCCCAGGTCCACTTTTGTCCAGCCAAGTCATCGTCAACCTCCCCATAGTACAGATGAGGCAACTAAGGTGTGGTGGCTGCAGCCCAGGATTCGTGATGGATTCAAGGATCAGCCTCTGACTTGCTTCTTTCAGCCCCGTCAGTTATGTCCCCACTACAGCTGATCCCCTGGCAGCAGGAGGCACTTCCAGAGGCAAACTCCACCCCCTGAGTCCAGAATTAAAGACAATGCTCATACACAAGTGACCTGCCAAACCTCTCCCAACCCTTCCCCACCTTCTACATGCTGCCATTTCTCCCCATGGGCCTGGGTGAGGACAGGAGGTGAGGAACACATCTCCTTGGGGCCCGAGGGCTGACACAAGAAGAGCTGTGGGAAAGATATCACCAGATTTCGGTTCCCCTAGGGAGCCCCTGTCTACCTCCCCATGCAGTGACCTACCAAGGCGAAGGGGCTGGAGGCACCTCTCGGGACCAAAGAGGTTACAAGTCACCCAAATCATTCTCAAGATGAAACTTCTGATAAACTCATACACACAGGTACCCACCCCAGAGACAGGCCCAGGAATACACAAATGCCCATCAACACACTGGAATACAGTGACACATATAAGCACTGACTCACTGACTGCCCCACAGGTCATCAGAGCTCGTGCGGGATGCTCCTCCCTCAAGACACACAAAGACACACACACGCACACTGCCTCTGCCGCAAGCACTCAGCATTCTAGATTCACACCCCGTTTGCACACACACCTGCACACCCCCAAACTGGGAGCCATATTTTACTTCAATGTGCAGGATCTTGGAAATGGGAATGGGAAGACCTATCGATCCCCCAGGAATGAGAGAGAGGGCCATCTTATTCTCAGGCCAGGGGATGGGGAATGGGAAGAGAGAAGGCAAGGGTAGAAGAAGCAGGAGCTTCCAGCCACTCCCTCTCTTGTCTGACGAACATTAAGCACCTACCAAGTGCCAGGCTGCAGGCTTGGAACTTGGAACACTAAGACAAAAGGATATGGTCCCTGCTTTTGAGTTGTAGAAGCCCCACAAGTAAATAACTCCCACCCACTGGGACATGCTCAAATGGTGCAGAGGGTGGGCAGAAGAGGGATGATGGCCTCTGCCTGGAAGCAAGGGAAAGTGAGAAAGCCTTTCAGGAGAGGTGAAATGAACCATAACCTACAGAGTTATGGCTAACAGAGGTGGGAAGAGGAACACGGACAGCTATGCCTCGGAGCAGATGAGGAAAGAGTTTGAATGACAGACTACGGTGTTGCGTTGGCCTTTATCCTAAAAGCGATGGGGAGCTTGTGTGGAGGGCGGTTAGGACAGCATCAGAGGCAGGCAGACCAGTGAGGAGGCTGTGGCTATGGCCGTGGCCATGTGAGAAATGATGGAGGTTTGTACAGAGTGATGGTGACCAGAAGAGAGAGAAGACAGATTCAGGATTAGTTTTTGGGGCGGGTTGGCCAACATGTGAGGACCAACTAGATCCAGTGGGAAAAGAAAAGGAAGCGTTGAGAATAGCTCCTGGAGTCCTGACTTTTGAAACTCTAAGGATGGAAAGGACATTCATAAAAATGAGAAAAAATGAGAAAGGAGGCAGTTTATGGGGAAGTATGAAGAATGGAAGGAGCCCAAGAATTCCAAATGGTCACGTCCAGGAGGCGGCTGGTTTAGGGGCTGGAGGCCTGCGGAAATCTAGGCCTCAGTTTGGTCATCTACACAAGAGGGAGTTCGCCAAAGAAACCCCGAAAAGGCCCCCTCCAGGGCTGTCGGTGCTTAGTTCTGCTGCAGAGTGAGCTCACCTGCGGCTCAGCAGCGACCCCTGGCGGCCCGGGGAGGCTCTTCCTCCTCCCCGTGCCGGGGCCACTCTGAGCAGATTCGCAGCGTTTCTTCCAGACCTGAGGGGCGCAGGGTCAGAAAGAGGACCCCTGACAAGTGCCCCCTGCGGAGAAGACTGTGAGTGCATCCAGGATGCTAATTCTTCACCGAAAGCTAGATGGATCCTTCACCTCCCCTCTGCTGTACCCTGCCTGTAACTTCCATTACTAGACAACAGCAATGGGTCCTCGAGGAGGACGCCCCCAATCTAGCCTGAGCTTGCTCCACCCAATCCTCTTCTGGAGTTGGAGCAGAGGGACTTAAGTGGGTCCCCAAGGGTCGGAACTGGAGACCCCACAGAATCCTCCCAAGATCTAGCTGCCCAAAAGTAACTTATCTTTCTCCCATCTCCTCCCCGGGATCCCCAGGCGCTGTCCGCGACGTCTCCAGGGAGGCCGAGAATTGGAAGATCCTCCAGGCCCCAGTCACCTGCTGAGCCAGCACTAGCCCCAGCGTCCCGGACTCATTTTACCTCCCGCCCTCGACCCCACCCCTATCCTCCCGGCACAACCCCTTCCTCTCTGGCCCCGCCCTTTTCTGCCCCCAAGCAGAGATAGTCTTGCCTCCTCCCATTGTCTTTGGACCCACCCCTTAATCATACTGCCCTCCCCTTTCCCTGGTTTCACCTTCTTCCCTCTGGTCCCGCCCCCTACCCGAAATGACCCCGCCCCTTCAGTGCCCTCCAGTTCAGCCCTCTTTTGACTCTAGCCCCTCCATCACAAGGTCCGCCCCTTCGCCTATAGCCCCACCCACCCTCTTTCTGTGCCCCGCCCACCTCGAATCTGGCCCCTCCCTTCACCATTGCCCATCCAGCCTCCTTCCCTCCCGGCTAGGTCCCAGCTCTTCTCCCTTCGCTAGCCCTCCGCTGAGACCACCCCACCTCCAGCCCTGGCCCTGCCCCTTCCAAGAGAAGACCCGCCCACCATGGCCCCGCCTCTTCTCTCGCCCCGCCCCACTCCGGCAGGCCCCGCCCCCTGCGGCCTCTACCTTTGGCGTCTTCCCCTGAGAGGTGGCGGAGACAGGCTGCCGAATGCGGGTGGGACTCTAAGTCACAGGTCCCGGCGGGCGCCGCGGGAGGCAATGAGGTGACAGTGAACCTGCGGCTCATAGTGCGGAAAGGGGCCGGGCGGCGGCGGTACGGGCCCAGATCGCACAAGTGGCTGCAGCCCGGCTCTAGCAGACAGAAAGAGCGGATTCCCCCCCCCGTCCGCCGCCCCCCACCGGGCGCGGCGCCGCGCAGGGTCCTAGTGCCCGCTGGGCTGAGCCTCAGAACGTGGCCATTTCGCTCCAAGTCCCTGGGCTCTCAATTCTAGGAAACGCCTGAAGATCCCACCTGCAGCTGAGAACCGTCCCTACACCAGGGGCCCCAGTGTGTGGCTCCTGGAGCCCGGGCCCTCCTCTGCTGGGGTCTCCTAAACACCTGGGTTTTATTCACTCATTCATTCATTCAACGCATCTTGATAGCGCTCCTGTGTTTCAGGCAAAGATACTAGGCACTGGGGATACAGCACTGCCTGAGATCGACCGGCTTCCTGCCCTGGTGTGGCTTAAATTCTAATAAGGAGTGAGGGGAGAAAGATTGTAAGTGAGCAAACGCATAGACAAGATAATTTGAGATTCTGGGATATATTAAGGAGAAAAAATAGGATCCAAGGATAATGACTAGGGGGAAGGACTACCTTAGAGGGTGACCTAAGAAGATTCCTCAGAAGATGTGATATGTGAGCTGAAACCTCCCTGGTGAGAAGGAGCCAGCTATGCAAAGATGTGGGTGAAGAGCTCTCCGGCAGAGAACATAGCAAGTGGAAAGGGGCCTGGACTGTTCAGGGAGCAGCAAGAAGGCCAGTGTGTCTGGAACAGAGTGAACAAAGGTGAGAGTGATAAGAGATGAGGGAGGGGGAAAGGGCAGATCATGTGGCCTCTTGAAGGTTTCAGAGAGGAGCCACTGGAAGTTTTTGAGCAGAGGAATGATGTGATCTGATTTATATGTTAACGGGATCACTCTGGCTATTGCACGAAGACTCCACTAAAGGAGAGCAGGAGTGGAAACTGGGAGTCTAGGTAGGAGGCTCCTGCAGAGTCTCATGCGAGAGGTGGTAAAAGCCAGACTAGAGCGGTGGCATTCATCCAATTCAAGGTATGTTTTGGAAGTAGAACGTACAGAACCTGTTGCTGAATTGAATGTTGTGTGGGATGGAAAGAGGAGTCAAAAAGGACTCCTGGAAACTGTCGCACATTGCTGGTGAGAGTATAGATGGGCAGAACCACTTTGGAAAATTGTTCGATCATATCTGCTCAAGCCAAGCATGCCTATACCTGTCTTCCCAGCAGTTCCACTCTGAGGTATGTACCCTGCCAAAGCACTTGTATGAATAAGTAAGATTTAACACATTTGAATATATAATATCCTACTTCTGCTTCTGCAATTTCTCAATACATTTCTTTTTTTTTTAAAGATTTTATTTATTTATTTGAGAGAGAGAATGAGAGAGAGAGAGAGAGAGCACGAGAGGGGGGAGGGTCAGAGGGAGAAGCAGACTCCCCGCTGAGCGGGGAGCCCGATGTGGGACTCGATCCCGGGACTCCAGGATCATGACCTGAGCCGAAGGCAGTCGCTTAACCAACTGAGCCACCCAGGCGCCCTCTCAATACATTTCTAATTGCGTCGTTATTTGCTGTACTAGGTACACTAGGTGTATGCCCCAAAGACATGGCTGCCCATGTTCGCCAAAAGACATTTACAAGAATGTTTATTGCAGCATTTTTCATAATAGCCTCAAATTGGGAACTACCCAAATGCCCATTAAAATGGGTAAATAAAAAAATAAATGGATAAATAAATAGTGGGACATTCATACAGTGCAAAACTATAGCGTGAATGAACAATCTATAATTCACAAACAATATCTATGAATATCACAAATAAAACCTTGAGCAGAAGAAGAAGCCAGATGCAAGAGTACGTACTGTAAAATACTATTTAAAGTAAAAACTCGTCAAAATCTGTCTAAGCTGTTAGAAATAATGGTGGTAATTCTTGGGGTGGAGGGGTAGTGATTGCAAGGGAGCAGGAGAGGGGCCAGAATGTTTTGTTTCTTGATCTGGATGTGGGTTACACAGTTGCGTTCAGTATGTGGAAATTTATTGAAATGTACACTTATGGCACGTGGACTTGTCTGTATGTTTATTCTATTAGAGCAATAGTTCTCAACTGGGGTTAGTGTTGCCCAACAGGGAACACCTGGCAATGTTCAGAGACATTTTTGATTGTCACAACTGGAGGGCAGCGTTACGGACATCGAGTGGGGAGATGCCGCTTGTGCAGTCCAGGCTAACACCAAGTCGGCCTGACGTGAGCCACGGGTTCCCCATCACCTCCCTGCACTCCACCCCCACATTGGGATCCAATGTAGGGAGAGGAGCACTGCCCCTGAGTGGGTCTGCCATCTGTCCATGATCCCACTACCCCCTGGAGGAAGACAGCAAACATTCCTACAACTTTCCCCACCACTAAAAAAATTATCTAGCCCGAAATGTCAATAGTGCCCAGGTTGAGAAACTGTACTAGAATAAGGAGTTTAACCGATATCTAGGTTTTAGTACTCATCAGGTTCTAAGACTGATTGAGAGCAGATGATGTCATCAAGGTAGTAATGATTGAAGCACGTTCAGAAGGTGGATCCCAAGAGTTCAGCTGGACCTGTTAGGCTGAGAAGCCTATCAGGCCCCTAAGGATCATGCAAGTCGGCCCTTGAACATACAAGTCTGGAGCTCAGGGGAGATGTTAAGGCTGAGGATATAGACTTCAGGAGTCTTTAGTAGAGAGATCTAAAGCTGTAAGGCTGGGCGAAATCCCATGGAATGTGTGTACACAGAGAAGTCCAAGGATTGAGCGCAAGGGCATGCTATCGTCTAGAGGTTAGAAAGAGAAAGATCCAGCCAGTGAGGTAGGGAGAACCAGGAAGGGGTGACCCAGAAACTGAGTGAAGAACGGCATTACCAACTGTGTCAACCAAGCTGAGAGACATGTAGAATGAGCCCAGAGGGCCCATGCATCTGGCTACGGGAAGTTCATAGGTGGCTCAGAAAAGAATGATTTCGGCGGTGTGGTGGGGTGGGAGTCAGGCTGAAAGTGGTAGCAGAGAGAATGGAAATTGAAGAAGTGGAGACCGTGAGTTGGAGACTATCCTTTGGAGAAGTTTTACTGTGGGTGGAGTGAGAGGTAGAGAGATGGAACAGTATCTAGAGAGAGACAGAGGTTCAGAGGGGCTTTAAATAAGCCCTATTAAGGAATGGGGGCATGCCCCTGGGTGTGGGTCATTCCTCAGTAAGAAATGGATGAGGTGGGTTTGAATCCACCCAAAGGAAGCTCAGGAGGAAGTTCTCTGAGTCCCTCAAACTCCCACTTGGGCCTGAGTCCAGAAGGCAATCAAATCTGAACATGCCCATCAGCTCCGCTCACCTGCCCCAACCCTCCAGTCAAGTCCCTCTGCTCTCCTGTGGGGTCACGTCCATGCTCCTCAGCCTGGCATTCAGACCTTGTCTCATCTAGTCCAGACCACCATTCCCCTCAACCATTCCAGAATCCTCTCTGCTCCGCTGCCATCTGCCTCCTAAAATCACACACTAGAGTTTGGAGCCATTTCTCATTCCCCCAAATGCCCCCCTGCTTTTTCTCTTCTCCCAGGCTTTGCCCCAAGAGCCCGCAGTCAAATCCCACTGCCACCAGTCACCAGCTATGGGACTTCTGCTGAGCTGTTTAATTCTCTGTGCCTCAGTTACCTCATCTGTAAAACGGGGGGAGGGGGGATGGCAGTAATACCCATAAGGTAAGAGCAGTTCCTGCCTCGTGGGCTTGTTTTAAGGATTAACGGTGTTAACACGCGTAAAGCGCATGGCACAGAATCTGTGTTGGACTAAGGGCCGCTGTTATCATCATGTATATAATCCATATTTTATTTATCCACTGCCTGACCTCTGTACACTTAGGATGTTGCCATTTCTCACTCTACAAGCCATACTGCAGTGTCCCTCCATCCGTTGTTTTGTGCGCATGTGTGTGAGAGATGGCATAGACACATTTTTAGGTTTAACGGTTTCTAGTAAATTACCCTCTAAGGAGACCGTTCTACTTGCCCAGGAAGAAACTCTTGCTCATCTTTCCATATTCAGTTCAAGTTCAGATGTCATCTTGGCTGAGAAATGTTCCCTGACTTCAACCACAACATACAGAATCACATATACACACCGTTATTCTAGAATAAAGGGCCACACGCTGCACACTCTCCCAAGTGTGATTCCCACCCCCACCAGACAAAGAATCACCCTGGTAACTGAGCAGGACTCTTTGGGGACTGAGCCTGGAGTCTGCATTTTAAGCAAAGTTCTGAGGGCACTCGTGTACCTAAAGTTGGAGGACCCCGAGAGGTCCTTGAGGACAGAAACATAATCCGATTCATCTCTCCTTCCCCAGCACCCAGCACCCAGCACAAGGCCTGGCTCCACGCAGGAGCTCAATAAATGTTTGATGAATGAATAATATGTTGGCCATTTCCCCAGCTGTAAAATAGAAGTCATCACATTATATCTTCCTAATAGGAAGAATGAACGTTAATATTTATGAAGTGCTTAGGACACTACCTGGCACATAGTAAGCACTCTATCAATTACATACATGCGTGCATGCATACATACATACACAAAGAAATCTCCTCAAGGTTAAAGAATTCAAGTTTATTAAAAACATTCCAGCAAAAAAGAAAGGTGGAAAGAGAGGGGCCCAGCCCACCTCAACTCTTCCTTGTCCTCCAGAACAAACCCACCAGTTTGTATCCGGCAAACTGGCTCCTTCCCCATTGGGATGGTCCCCCTAGGATCCACTCTGCAGTGCCGAAGCAGGATGGGAAGCCCTAATCCTCGGGGCACTGCAGTAAGTCAAAGGTCACGTAGCCCACTTCATCCACCTGGTTCACCTCTTTCCGAGAATTCACACGCCAGTAGAAAAGGTCCTGGCAGAAGTGGGCTTTCCCTGCAGGGGGAAGGCAAGTATGAGAGAGGTGATTCCAACCCTCCCACAGACACCTACAGAAACAGGAGCAAGATCTTTGCCATGGTCCCTCTTGGCCGTTCTAGATCTTTCCAAGCTTTTTAAAGGACACCTCCATCTCCTCCCCCACAGAGATGTCGGAGGGCAGGAAACCTCAATGTCCAAAGCCCTGGCACCGGGCCTGGCACACAGTAGGTGCTCAGAACAATTCATTCGACATTCATTCATTTCAGTCATTCATTTCATCAAATATTTATAGTGCTCAGCACCGTTAGAGGCACCGGGGGGATACAGCAAAGACAAAAATGCAGGCACGGTCTCAGTTCTGCGGCTGCTCACACTCCCGTGGGGTAAGAGAGACGATTAACAAGCAAACATGTAAATAAATGAGACTGTGACAATGAAGGAAGCTATGAAGGAAATAAAAGCAAGTAGGTGAATAACTCATGAGGGCCAGAGAAGGTCTCTTTGAAAAAGCAGCCTAAGCGCTGAGAGCCGAAGGATAAAAGGGAGGCAGCCCCCACACAGTTTGCCGAAGCTTCCAGGCAGAGAGAACAACTGGCGTGGAGGCCCGAAGCTAGGAGTGACCTTGATGTGTTCAAAGAGCAGCCAGAGGCCATGCGGGTGATGCGTGATCTGGAGCAGAGGGATGGACAGGAGTGCTGGGAGGGTAAGAGGAGCAGATCAGACCCCGGAAGTTTCTCTCTTTTAAGATTTTATTTGATTATTTATTTATCAAAAAGAGAGAACACAAGCAGGGGGAGCAGTGGGCAGAGGGAGAGGCAGGCTCGCCGCTGAGCAAGGAGCCCGATGCGGGGCTCAATCCCAGGACCCTGGGATCATGACCTGAGCCGAAGGCAGACAGTACCACCCAGGGGTCCCAGTAGTTTCTTTGACCTTGGAACGGGTCTGGAGTCCCCTGCAAGACCATGGCCCTCCATTCCTAACCACTCCCTACTTGTAGAGAGTTATCTTCATGGTATTGAACAACCAGTATGGCTTGGACCAGGGTATTTGCAAAGGAGATGGTGAAAAGTGAATATTTTGGTAGTAGAGTCACCAGAACTTGTCAGTTGATTGCATGTGAGTGGGGAGGAAGAGAAAGTTTAGTATAACTCCAGCTATCATCCCCATTTTACAGATGGGGAAACTGAGGCTCCATGAGCAGCAGTGACTTGCCCAAAGACACAGTTATGGATTGTCTTTTTTTTTTTTTTTATCACTATCTCCCATGTCAGCACAGTGCCTGGCATGTTACAGGCACTTGATAAACATTGTCTAATAAAGGAATGAGCCTCCATGCAAAACATGTGTCCCGTACTGTGGGAGCAAAGAGCTTCCCGGGGAGGCAGGAAATCTGGGTTCTAGTTCTGGTTGTTGTCTCGTGTCCCTTTATGATCTGGGAAAGGTCGCTGCCTCTACAGGAAACTTCATCTGTGCTGGGGCATTTGCCTCAATCTGGAGGAGACTTGTTTTTTCTCCCTCAGAATTTGACCAATCATCTGAGGCCGATTAGGTGGGAACAGCGGCACCCCGATCTGCAGCCCTTACCTTGGTACTGGAAGATGTTGTCCGAGTTCAGGGGCACCCCGGAGAACAGCTGCTCCACCGAGCTGGGGGTTTTAGGATCAACGGTCTGCGTCTTCACGTCGAACCTGCAGGAAGTGGTGAAGAGACAGGTGCTGGGCTGGAGGGCAGGCGGATGGCGCCCGGGGTCCCCCTGCCGGCGGTCGCCGTGACTCTCACCTCCAGAAACGCTGCCAGCTGAACAGCAGCACCTTACCCCTGCCTTGCGGGAGGGCCCCAGTGACTTGGGCCACCTCTGGTCCCAGGCCCAGCTTGTCCAGACGCCTGGGGCCTAGCACCGACGCGCCTGTGTACACCCACACTTGGCGCCCTGCAGGGGAGAAAAGCCGCATCGGTCTGGGGGCAGGGAATGGACACACATTGTCTTTGAATGTCAAGAGGAAGAACCCAGCGAGGCCTTTCTGCGCCCGACGTGCCCGCTGTCTCGGTGGCCACGGAGTAGAACCGCTCCATAGGACGGTGCAAGGGAACGGTGGCGATCAGCTAAACTGCACCCACCAGAAGGGGGCGCCTTTTCCTAATCCGCGGAAAATGTATCACGGATTACACCGGGTCTCTCGGTGTTCCTAGATTGGCGAGGATGTGGATGGCGGGGGCGGGGGGAGGAAAAAGGAGGAAACTAACCAGAGAAGAAGAAAATCTTCTTGGTGAGCGGGTCCTCAAAGGCGGAGTCCAGCTTGTGGGGCAGCGCCGGCCACGAGTCAGTGATAAGGAAGGGACCCTGCACCTGGCGCCCCTTGCCCTCAGAGAATCGCCAGTACTTCCTGGGAATGAGAAAAGGGACCAAGGGGCACTGAACTTTGAACCGAAGGCCAGCGGGCGGAGAGGGGCAGGCAGGTCCCTCCTCCAAGTCCCCTCCCCAGCTACATACACATCCCTGCCCCTTTACCCATCTTTGAAGAAATGCAGCCGGTTCCGGATCTCCGCGATGGCGTCGAAGAAGTTCACTTTGCATATATCCTCTGCTGGGTTGAAAGACACTGTAGTGGCCTCAGAAGGGCCAGCAGTGGGGGGACCCGTGGGGCCAGCTGCAGGGGGGCCTGTGGGGCCAGCAGTGGGGCGCTCTGAGGAGCGGGTAGTGGGAGGTCCCGTAGGGCAGCCGGTTGGTGGAGCGGTGGGCTGGGCAGTTGGAGGCTGTGGTTCGGGGTCAGGGCGAGGACCTAAAAAGACACAGCGGATGAGATATCCTCTATTCCTGCACACATCTGCGCTGGTGGACTATATGCCCCCCAAAACCCCATGAATGAGGCCCCTGGTACTCCCTCTTCTCACTTTAGGTGTCGGACCTGCCTTCCCCCAGTCACTGACAGGCTGATTTTTCCCCATACATTCACCTTTCATTCCAGTTATGTCTGTCCAGTCCTGGGCCGTGTCAGGCCCTGACTGGGCCCTATGAACACAAGACATGCTGGGGCTCTCCCTCTGCCACCCCCCCCCCCAGGCTAGTGGGAAAGAAGTGTGTTTTGGGCACGCAGTTAATGCTAAGAGCTTTATAAAATCACATTAGCTCATTTGACTTAAAAAAAAGTGGATCCTTTAATATCTCCATTTTTTAAATGAGAGAATAATACTAATGATCATAAGTAATAACAATAAAATATTAAATACTTATATGGTGCCTACTATATGTCAGGCATTATTCTAATTCTTTTAAACCTCCTAACAACTCTATGAGGCAGGTACCATTATTAGCCCCATTTCACAGGTGAGAAGGTTGAGGTGTGAAGTAACATACATGGTCACCTAGCCAGGGAGTGGCTGGACTGGCTTTTGAACCCATGTCTGTCTCAGTCTAGAGTCTGGGCTCTTTGTCCCCATCTCCAAGCACTGACCAGGCAGCAATTTGACCCACTGGCCCCAGGCTTTCCCACAGGTAAATGCTGAGGTCCCCACTCCCCACCCCCCATATTCCCCATTCTCCATACAGCGACAAAGCCCAGCCCTTCCCTCCATCTCTTCCCTCCATCCCTGCCCCAAACCTCACCGTACAGATACTGGATGCCCTTCACATCATCCTCATGCAGGGGGGGCCCCTCGGTGAAGCTGTACATGGGGTACATGAGTGCTTCCGGCACCAATGAGTGATCTAAACCCAGTGCGTGGCCGAACTCATGGGCGGCCACAAGGAACAGGCTGTAACCTGGAGGAAAGAAGACCCTGAGATGTGAGTCCTGGGCCGACCTTCCAGCCCTGGCCATCCCTCCCCCAACACCGCTGCCCCCAACCTTGGATCCCTGCTCACCTTGGTCCGGGCAGAAGCCCCACTTCTTGTCTCTGTCAAAGTTCGAGGTGGTGGCGCACCAGAGGTGCCCATCTCCGCGGCCCTCTCTGGTGCAGGTCGAGTACTCCTTGCCCAGGAAGATGAAGGGGAAGACACATGGCTCCCCTGCGGAGTTGCCCCCGGTCACCGTGGAGTCGACTGAAGAGATAGAGAAGCCTTGGGTGAGCCAGGTGGGTGGGTCCAATAAGGGACCCGGCGCGGGCCACACAGGGAGCTAGATAATCCTGGTGTCCTATTTTAAAAGCCTAGGGGAGGCTGGGGCCACAGCTGAGACCCGGCTAGGGTGGTGGACGGGGCCTGGGGACCGGAGACTAAGGGAGAGGCAGCAGGCTGGGCTGAAAGGCCAAGACCCAGGGATGCGGGGGGCGGCACGTGGACCTCAGGGGAAGGGGCTGTGATCATGGATGGGGACGCGGGCGATCCTGAGGCCCAACGAAGCGTGGAGAGACAAACCGATGGGTGGAGGAGCCACGTTTCGGGGACCAATGCGGAAGTAGGGGGCGGGGCTGAATCTGGTAGGCGGGGCAGAGGTACCTCGGGTCGGGCAGAAGCCAAAGAGTTTGTCCCGGTCGAAGTTGGCCGTGGTGGCGCACCAGCGGTAGCCGTCCGAGCGGCCGTCGGTGGTGCAGGTGGAGTAAGATTTACCCTCAAAGGTGAATGGAAACACGCAGGGCTTGCCGTCCCCATTGCCGTCCTGGGTGAGGAGTCCTGGGGAGGCCCACACGACGGCCCGAAGGCGCCGTGAGTTTATTGACCCCCACACCATCTGTGCACTCCCTCCCTCCTCTCCCCATTTCACAGATGAGAAACTGGGCCCAGAGAGCACGAGAGAGACTTGCAGGCCGCACAGCACTAGTGGCAGAGCCGGGATTAAAATCTAGGGCTCTGGCCCGCGCCGCGACCCCGCACTCACTCTCGCTGGGGCAGAAGCCGAACCGGCGGTCGGTGTCATAGTCGGCCGTGGTGCTGCACCAGGCCATGTCGTCGGAGCGGCCGTCCGTGGTGCAGGCGGAGTAGGAGCGGCCCTCGAAGGTGAAGGGGAAATGGCAGGGGGCGCCATCTGAGTTTCCGAAGTAGGTCGGAACCACTGCAGGAGGAGGGGGACAGGGTCAGGGTGGCTGGCGATGAGTGTGACAAGAGAAGGGAATGGGGTCCGGGGAGGCTCAGGATCTCACCGACGCCCTTGCCCAGAGACCACAACTCTTCGTCGTCGAAGTGGGCGTCTCCCTGAATGCCCTGGCCCGGAGGAAAGGCGTGTGCCAGGAGCCCGTCCTTCCCATCGAAGGGATACCCATCTCCGTGCTCTGAAGAAGCAGGTGGAGAAGAAGGGAGTTAGCCGAGTACAGTTGTGCAGATAGCGCGCTGCCCAAGGGCGCTGCACTGAGTGTGGGCTGAGATGCCGCCTACAAGCAGCTGTCCAAGCCTTGCGTCCCCGCGCTGTGCCGCGTCGGGCAGGAGGGGGCGCATAAGGGCCACCGGCGGCCAGAGCTACGGGGACAAGAGAGACAAAGCCGGGTCCAGTGCCCGCTCTCTTCTCTCCATGGTCCTCCCACCGCTGTCCCCGTCCAAGACCCTCCTGGCTTTCCCCTTTTGGCGTTCTCACCCCTAACACCAAACTGAATGACGATGTCGGCTTCGGGGCCGTACACGCGAGTGAAGGTGAGCGGCGTCACTGCGCTCCAGAGCGCGAAGGCGCGAGCAAAGGCGTCGTCGATCACGTCGCGCGGCAAGTCTTCCGAGTAGTTTTGGATCCTGGAGGGGAAAAGCGGGAGGAGAGAGGTCAGAAGTGAGGCCGGAGCGGGGGCAGTAGCGACACCCGGTGTCTCAGCGACCTCAGCAAGCACAAGCCTCCCTGCGTTCCACGCTTTCATCTACAAAGCACTTGCAGACGCATTTTTCTCTTGGGACTCTCACAATGGTCCGAGAGGGAAGACTCAAGATTGAGGGCGAGACCCATTTTCCTGAAGGAGAAACAGGGGCTCAGAGGTGGAGCCACTTGCCCCAGGCTGCACATTTGGAATCCAGGGATTGGTCTAAGGACGAGATCGCCGCCCGGGCGGGGTCTGGCCCTCCCGCTCCACCCCTCCGCCTCCGCAGGGCCCGGCCAGCGCACCAGTAAGTGATGTCGTGGTGGTGCCACTTGAGGTCGCCCTCAAAGGTCTGGAACTTGCCCAGGTCCGGGACCCCGCAGCGCGGGGCCCGCATGGCCTCCAGGGTGGTTTTGTCCAGCTCTCCAGTCTCGGGCAGAGACAGGCGCCTCTGGAGAAGCCGCAGCGCCCGACCTAGGGACTGCTTGTCGTCGTTCATCTCGGCCACATGACTGTAGCCATAGCGAAACAGATACTCCTGTGGATGGAGCGGCAGAGATATATTCCAGAGCTCTGACTCTTTCCCTGTCCTACCCTGCCCGGGTTCCCTCTGCCCAGGCACTCAGGGACTAGCAACTACCCAGGACTTGGTACAGTGGATACCAGGGCTAATGCCCACCCATTAACTCCCTTCCCTGTAGACATCCTTGGCTCTTTCCCACCCCAGGATGCCCCTGGCCCGAGCCTCCCTCAGGGCCCCCTAGCATTTACCCCTGTCCACCCCGAGCCCCTGCCCACTCCAGAACCCTCCGATGCATCACCACCCCCATCATGTCCCATTGCCCACCTCGGAAACCCTTATTAGCCATTCCTGGCCGTCACTGTCCCGAGCCTCCGCAGGACCTCCAGGGCCTGATCCTGGACACCTCTATTCTCCAGACATGCCCATCGCCCCCAACTTGCCCCAAGGTATCTCCTCTGAGGCCCCATGCCCTTCCTGTGACTCCTGGCCAGCCTTCCCCAACTCCAGCCTGGGGTATTAGCCTACCTCAGCCAGCTGCTTATCAGTGAGATTAGCTCTCAAGTCTCCAGGGAAGACCACGAGGGTGGGCTTGTGTGGTCTGGGAGCTGCAGAGCAGTAGCCCAGCACAAGGAGCACCAGGACCAGGGGCTGCCTGGGGCTCATGGTGAGGGTGGTGGTGTCTAGCTACAGCCGTCCTTGTGGGGGCTTTAAAAAGGCGCTATTAACTGAATCAGTAGCCCCGCCCATCCCCTGGCAGGCGGGGGCTGACTCAGGGGGTGGGGTGCGTTGGGGTGGAGGGGACAGCCCCAGCATGAGAAGGCAAAGAAAGGGCTTACACCACACCTCCACCTCTCCCCGCTACCCACAGTTCCCAATGCCAAGTGAGGCAGGACCCCAGACCCACAGGAAACCACAGGCCCATAGGGGAAGGGTTGGGTTTTGCAAACTGCAGAGCTTGTGGGAACTGAATGAAAGCAAGGGAGGGAGCGGAGGCTGGACTCCCTGAGCTCAACACCACCGAAGGCCCAGAGTGGTCAGCCCAAGGGAAGGAGATGGAAGATTCCCCAAGGCGTCTTCCTGAAACCAGTGATCCCCCTTCCTGGTCAGACCCCATCCATGGGCCCCTTCCCACACTGCTAGACTCTGTCCTCTTTTCTCCTCCCTGGAAGCCTTTCTTGGCAGCTTCCTCTCCCTGCCCCACCTTGGGGCGGAAGGAGTGGGCTCTGCTAGGCAGGAATTGGGGAATTCCACCATCGCAACCCCTGTCTTCCACAGTCTGAATCTTTCAGGATAGTAAAGGGGGAAGTTTATGGCATCTGGAAGCCAGCCCGACAGGCTTCACTCTCTTCCTTCAGGGCCTCAGGCAAATGTCCTACTACTCTGAATCTGCTTCCTCAGCTGTGAAAAAGGGCCCTTTGTCCCTAAACTGATGCGAGGATAAAATGAGATCAAACACAGAAAATGCTTACTACAGCATATGTTGGAAGTCCTCAATAATGGCCATGGTCGCTTTTAATTACCTGGCCCAAGACTGTGATTCCAATTTGGAATCAGGAGATTGGGGTCTTGGGCTCTAATCTGCCGCATGACCTACAATAAAGGCCTTCTGATCTCTCTGAATTTGGGACTCTTCAACTGCAAAGTGGGGGAGGGGGTGATCTTGGGGGCCCGTTCAGTCCTCCAGCCCCTTCCCCACCAAGCACAAGCTCTAGCCCCAGTTTTCACCAGTATGCCTTTCTCCCTCTCCTCTTCCCCACCAGCCCCGTGGGGAAGGGTCTGTGTTTGCCTTCCCTGAGGCATCACGTGGGGAGGGCAACATAACAACCCAACAAGTTGGATTTAAAGGGCTCACTATGTGCCAGGCACTTTCTTTTTCTTTCTTTTTAAGATTTTATTTATCTGAGAAAAAGCATGAGCAGGGGAAGGGGGAGAGGGACAAGCAGACTCCTCGATGAGCGAAGAGCTTGACACAGGCTCTGCTCAATCCCAGGACTTGAGCCAAAGGCAGATGCTTAACAGACAGAGCCACCCGGGTGCCCCTGCGGGGCACTTTCTATGCTTATCTAATAAATGAATCTCTGAGATGAAGACATTTTGCTTCCCTTATAGGGAAGTTGAAGCTCTAGAGTTCGCTAATCAATGAGCATCAGCTTTGGAGTCATGCAGCTCTGGTGTTCAGTCCTGCCCAGCTGTGTCGCCTTGGGCAAGTCACTTCACCTCGGAGCCATAATAATCATGCATTTCTTGAGATTCACTACGTGTGGCGTACTGTGAGAACTTCCCTATAAGCATCTCATTTCATCCCCACCACCACCTGTGAGGTAGATTTAATGAGTACCCCTCCTATTTTTAGAGGAGGATCTTGAGGCTCAGAGCAGTTAAGGAACTTGCCTATGACCACACAGCAGGTTAATTCAGAGAACCAGGATTCAAGCCCAGGGCTGCCTGGCTCTGAAATCTTTCAACTTTATCACCATTTACAGGGAAGTCAGATGACCAGAGGGGTGGGGGAAAGGAGCTCAGGGAGGAGAGACTTAAAACTCAGCACCTTCTCCCCTGATACCCTGTGCCCGCCCAAGAACAGAGAGCAGGCTCAGGCCTTTGGGGGAATCAGAGGCTAGAACAGGGGACCAGGGGAACTATATTCCAGATTTGAGAATGTGAGGTCATTGAGCAATTATCATTTTTTTAAAAGATTTTATTTATTTATTTGAGAGAGAGAGAGCACGAGCAGGGATGGGGGGGTGAAGGGGCAGAGGGAGAGAGAGAGAGAAGCAGGCTCCTCGCTGAGCAGGGAGCCCAAGGGGGTGGTGCCTAGATCCCAGGATCCTGGGATCAAGACCTGAGCTGAAGGCAGACACTTAACCAACTGAGCCACCAGGCGCCCCGAGCAATATCATTTTAGAGATGGAAATAAAGAGACCCTCCCATCCAGGGGATCTCCCTCTGGTGGCCGACTCAAGCTTTAGGAGACTCCACAAACCACCCCCAACTTGCCATCAAAGGTACAAAATAGGGGCGCCTGGGTGGCTCAGTCGTTAAGCGTCTGCCTTTGGCTCAGGTCGTGATCCCAGGGTCCTGGGATCGAGCCCCTCATCGGGCTCCCTGCTCCACAGGAAGCCTGCTTCTCCCTCACCCACACCCCCTGCTTGTGTTCCCTCTCTCTGTGTCTCTCTCTGTCAAATAAATAAATAAAATCTTTAAAAAAAAAAAGGTACAAAATATGTCGTGCCTATGTATGTATGTCATGTTTCTCGAATTTAACACTATTGACATTTGGCGCCAGATGAATTCTTTGTTTTGAGGGTCTGTCCTGTGCATCGTAGGATGTTTAGTAGCATCCCCAGCCTCTCCCCATTAGGTGCCAGGAGCACCCCCCCCCTTGCCAGTTGTGACAACCAGAAATGGCAAACATTGCCAAACGTCCTCTGGTTGGGTGGGAGGGGCAGAATCACCGCCAGTTGAGAACCACTGATGTTTGTTGATTTTTTTGTATATAAAGGGTCCAAAACATTTATCATATACTCAAACCGTTGATGATGATCCTCAAATACTCAAGTATGTGTGGAGTTTTTATGGGCCAGACATTGTGCTAAGAATTCGGGAATGCAGTAGTCACCAAGATTGTCATTTGTCATTGTGCTAATGGAACTGAGCCCAGTAGGGGAGAAACTGAATGAATAAGTAATTACCAGAGAGACAGACATCACAAGGGGGCAGTGTACTAATCTACTCCAGTTGCCCCCACCATGTAGATGAGGAAACTGAGGCACAGAGTAGAGAATTTACCTCTCTCTGGTCACAGAGCAAGCCAGGGACAGCATGGGTTGGACAGTAAGGAGCCGTAGCTCTAAGCCCACTCTGTGGGACCAAGCGACTGAAGTTCCGATCTCAGTGCCGGCACCACCTTGCTGTGTGATCTGGGCAACTGACATAACCTGCCCATGCCTCAGTTTCCCCATCTGTTAAAAACAGGGGTAATGATAGTGCTTACTTGCCTCCTGGAGTTGTAAGGGTCAAATTAACGGATATAAAGTGCCTGGCATACGGTAGTAGGTGCTTGCTGATATTTTAATTACGATGGCCATCAGGGTCAGGCCAGCTGGCTGTTTTTACCAACTTGGGGGCAGAAAGAGGACACCCAGCCAGGAACCCCTGCCTTCATTCCTGGAGTCAATCCAAACAAGAGCCCTCCTTTCCTCATCCCCTCCCAACTTCCTCCTTTACCCCTGGCTCCCCAACCCCCGCATCAAGAGGAACTTGGGAGAGCACCCTTTCAACACAGCAATGGCAGGAAGTGGTTCTGGTTACCACATCCTCTTCCCCACTTCCCTCAACCCCTCCTTCCAACACCGCAAGTTTAGCCAAGGCATTGGGAGAGGGGGCGGAGAACAGGATATTCCTCCAGGTGGGTACCCCTTGACCCTGACCCAGAGGCACAGCTGGGACTCTACATCCCTCCCCCAGGTGGAGGTCCCATAAGATGGGGAGGAGGCTGGTCCTGGAGCCCTGAGTCACCAGCCAGATGACACAGCCTGCAGGCTGCTGTTAGTAACACCAGGCCCCCCGGACCAACCGGGGTCAGCCTCACGAGGTGAGGAACCTCTCCCCACTATGTAGAATGGGGAATTCCAAGCCTGTTCCTCCTAAACCTGCCAGAGATGGGAGGGGCAGCCAGGTCTGAGATGCCCTGGCAGGAAATGGGAAAGACACTTGTGTCTGTGATGAAGCAGAAAGGTGTGTATACGGCAAGACACTGCCCCGGGGAAAAGCATCACCCAAGTCCCCGCCACCACCCACAAACACACCTACCATCCCTGGCCCCAGGGTGGTGGCAATCACCAGTGGACTCTTATAGGCCTTAGTGATAGTGTCTTGCCTCCCACTTATCTCTGTTGAGCTCCTTCAAAAGGAAGCCAGATAGTAGAGACTTTGGAATCAGAACTCCTGGGTTCAAATTCCAGTTCCGACTACATCTGTCAGTGTGAGCTCAGGCAAGTCACTTTGCCTCTCTGTGCCTCCATGGCCTCGTCTGTAAAATGGGGGAGAACAGTCCTCACTCAAAGGGTTGTGGTGAAGATTAAATGATATTATACACTGCAAGTTTTTAGCACACAAGTAGGTACACATACCAAAAAAAAAAAAAAAATGCTGGCTGTCCTGATGCCATTACTCTAATGCTCTCTCCTTTACGAATTAGGATTCACCATCCTCGGGGCGCCTGGGTGGCTCAGTGGTTAAGCATCTGCCTTCGGCTCAGGTCATGATCCCAGGGTCCTGGGATCGAGCCCCACATCGGACTCCCAGCTCAGCGGGAAGCCTGCTTCTCCCTCTCCACTCCCCCCTGCCTGTGTTCCCTCTCTCGCTGTGAATCTGTGAGGCTCAGGGAGTTGCCCAAGTCCACACAGCTAGCTAGGGGCAGACCTGGGGTTCCACCTAGACCTGACACCAGTGCCCTGTTCTTTCTACCACATTTGGCACGTATGGCTAGCCATGCCAGTGGCCAATCATCCCCATAGTCAACACACAACCCACTTAACGCTTTATCCAGTGCGGTCACGTACCTTATCACGTCTGATCCGCACCGAATGGCAGAACTTCTTAACATTTTATCTGAAGCTGAGCTTTCAGGGGAGGCAGAGACTGTAGCCCATTCTCAAGGCAACAGACCCAAGGCCCAGAGAAGTGCTTCAAGCTGTTCACTGTCACACA